TGCCTTTGCACAAAAAAGGTTGAAAAACACTGCTCTAGATCACTTATTGCATTAAATAATTATGATAATTCTTTGTCCCTACAGGGAATCGATTTACTCAATTTTACTCCAGCAACATTTTGAAGCTTTCTCACGGCAGTGTTTTACATATTATTTGCAAGGAGGCAGTTTATTCAAATAAATACAGTAGAACTCTCTAATATTTTTAGGGGTGGGGGGCATATGATCTGTAAAAAAAAGTAAATGTTTCTCCATGTAAGAAAGTGGGAGGAAAGAGGTGCTGTGCTGAGTCATGCTTACAGTAATAAGCGAAAGAAAAACCCATCTTAATTACTATCATGATATATGACTTTGTACTCATGAAAACTCGCCAAGCATATTTTAAGATTTTTGAAAGAAAAACCAAAAATGCAGGCAAGCTATTCTGACTGCAATTTTACCATACAATATTTCTATTTATTGATAGAATCGCAATTGGAATAACTCAATTGCAGCTGCTTTTGGAGTTTAAGGGTATTTACACAGTAATTACAAAGTTTGCTCAGAGAAGGTGGAGCTTAGAGACGGAAACCTAGTAAACAAGAAATCTACACAAGAACTAGTTGCCAAACTATCTGAGATCTAGCTTCCTGTTTCCTGTAAAGACGGCACAATATTTGGCTCCTCCAAGCCCACCGGAAAGGTACAAATGGAACAGTAAGCTATCTGGTAAATTGCCTCTAATCATAGAGGTTCTATTATTGTCATCTTTTTCTTGCAAAAAAAAGAAGAATTTATGGTTTGGGGTAAGATAAACATTAGGGCTTAGAACTACTGAATTCCCCTCCTCAGTCTTTGTTGCTTTAAACTCTGTATATTCAGTATCTTTTTTAAAATGGGTAGTTCTTACGATTCCTGTAGATAAGTTTCTCAGATGTGGCAATTTAAGGTGGGTGAACTTCAACTCCCAGAATTCCGAAGCCTGCTCTAGATCATATTTTATTTATAGTATAGTACATAAGGCAGTGTTTTTCAGTGTTTTTCAATCTTGGGCTTGGCAGCTTGAGGATATGTGGACTTCAACTCCCAGAATTCCGAAGCCTGCTCTAGATCATATTTTATTTATAGTATAGTACATAAGGCAGTGTTTTTCAGTGTTTTTCAATCTTGGGCTTGGCAGCTTGAGGATATGTGGACTTCAACTCCCAGAATTCCGAAGCCTGCTCTAGATCATATTTTATTTATAGTATAGTACATAAGGCAGTGTTTTTCAGTGTTTTTCAATCTTGG